TCTCTCTCTCTCTCTCTTTCTTTCTTTCTCTTTCTCTCCTTCTCTCTCTCTTTCTTTCTTCAAAAGCCTTACTGCCGCATTTGTTTATCTGCTTTGTCTTGGGTTGTTTTTGGTGTGTGTGTGTGTGTGTGTGTGTGTGTGTGTGTGTGTGTTTAAGTTTCTCTTGTTTTTTCTTGCCAGAGTCCTGAAATTCTTTAAGTTTGTTTTTCACACGTTGAAAATATTCAATCATTGTTCTTTTGGTTTCTGCTAATAAAGCTCAATTAGACTTTCTGTCTTCAGGAAATCCATTGATGCTGTATCACTTTGCGGGGGTGACATCTTGTTTGGGGTTTATGTGGGATGTGAGGTAGTCTGCTTCTTCTATGTCATTGCTCTGGTAGTTTTTCTATCTTTGAGGCCTTTGGAGACTCTTATTCTGATAGCGTTGACTCGGAAAGTCATTTGTCTTGAGGAGTGTGGGGCAGCTACCCTGCCTGAGTTTCTCTCTGATCTTTTGACTCAAAGGAAGACTTGCTTCAGTTGGGGAGTGAGATGACCTGTGAATTAGTAGCTTTCTCTGTCAGGTAACAGCTGCAACTAGGTAATTCCAAAGGTTCTGCAGCAATGTAGCTCAAGCTCTGGGAGGGTGAGGAAATGGTTTCACCTGTGATATTGGTGTGCTTGGTGCAGTTCAGAGGGACAGGAGTGGATCATCCTTTAGGTGGCGGGGCTGGGTCCTTCAGGTGGCAGGTTTAGGGTGTCCAGGTAGCAGTTTGAGGCCTCCAGGTGGTAGGGTTGGGGCCTCCAGATGGATGGACTGTAGTCTGGTAGTGTTTGCAGGAAAGCAGTCCTGGACTTACTAAGAAATTTTTAATACAGCTACCTAGCTAATCAACTGGAAGAGATCCATGGCACTTTGATAACATACAGCTTTGGGACATGAGTCTCTGGCAACCTATTGGAAGTTTCTAATAAGGAATTCAGAAGAAATTGAAGTGTCTTATATTGATTGATAAAACCACAGAAAACATAGAAGAATTTAAACATTCAAGAAGAAAAGCTATGCAAGACCAAAGAGAGTAAATGTAATATCAGAAACAATAGAAAATATCATAGTGAAATTCAGGATATTAAGACTGAAATTGCAGAAATACATTGGAAGGACAAAAGAGTAGAAATCATTAACACCACATCTGAAAAACACAATAGAATAACAATAGTAGAGTCTTAGAAATAATTACTTACACTGAATGTAAACAGATTAAATGATCCAATAAAGATACAGATAAATAAGCAACAGGCCCCACAAGAGATTTATCTTAGACATAAAGATGATAATAAATTAAAAATTAAATGATGGAAACATATTAAGCTAATGGCGATAATAAAAGGCAGAAGTGGCAATCTAAATTTCTGATAAAATATGCTCCAAAGAAGAACAATGAAGGGCTTTATTTAATGATTAAAGAGTCAATCCAGCAAAAGAACATAATCATAATAAATATGTGCTCCATGAAACAACAAAAACAAACCATAAACATAAACAGATTTGAAAACAGAATAAGCAACGAAGGATAGACAACTAGAAGGAAACTCAGTAAAGATGCAGGAGATCTCAAGAATGTCATCAACTAGCTTGATCTCATAGAAAATAAGGGGAGAGACAAAGCAAAGGAAAAAAATAATTGACTATTTTTTGGAAGAAGACTTCTGAAATATTATGGAAAAAATATGCATTAACCCCGAATATGATAGATCCCCAAAAGAAAAACCACAACAAATAATAAACAAACTTCTGAAATAAAAACAAAGATATTGAAAGCAATTTGGGAGAATGAAGAGTTACCAGCAAAAGAGAATCAAAAATACTAAGCTCTAATTTCTCAGCATATATAAAAAAAAACTGAAAGAAAGAAATGGCAAGCAAAAGCTATATTACCAGAAAAATTATTCCTCAAATGTTGTTAGGTGTTGTTGACTATAACTTATAGTGAGCCCCTGTACATAAACCTTGACCTTTCTCACAATCTTTGCTGTCCTTAAACTGTGTTTAATTGATATATTCCCTGTGTCAATCCATTACTTTCTTGGTTCACCTTCTTTCCAAGCATAATGTTGACTAGCCCACCCTGACAACATACCCAAAATTTTCGAACATGCCTCAAGATGTCCTGAGCTTTCCAAAGAAGCCTATGTAGGGTAATACTTCAACAACCTTGTGCTCACAACCCTGTTCACCACCTGTATATTCTCTTTAATCCTCTTCTCATTGTAACTTTTGGCCAGGACCACAACACCACGCTGTATCTGGTAACAAAGGGCAATCAGAGCTGGGGTTCGCTTGTATTTTTCTGCCAGAGCATTGAGAACTGGATCATCCAAAAGAGGAGGAGAGTTCTTTTTATGCCTGGAAGGAAATGCAGAAGTGATGAGTTTTTAATTTGTCAGGAGGTTTATAAAGCTAAGATTGATCCCTTCGATACTAATTCCCCAGTTGTCCCTAGGTCATTATTATCTGAACCATTGTTAGAATTGACAGTTATAGGACTTCCTTAAGAGGACTTGTGGGGTCCAGAATTCTTATTTCAGAGAGAACAATTTTGTTTTGATATTGTCTTAAATTTTGAAGAAGGGAAAGTGGAAGCACAATGATTAAAACTCTTGGCTGCAGACCCACTATCACCCTCTGTGGAAGAAGGATGTACTTTCCTTCCATTAAGATATACATACTTAGAAACTCTATGAGGTAGACACATTCTGTCTTGAAGAGTTCTCTTGTCTCTCACTGCTATTCAGTTGGAACCAACTTATAGCTGATTCTCTAGCAGCAGGTTTTCAGAGGTTGCTAATCACAAAGGAGGAGATTATCCATCCTTCTCCTGGAGTTCAGCTGGTGGATTTTAAATACTTGCCTTTTGTTGGCAGTGCAGATGGCACTCCTTATGGGTTGGAATCAACTGAAAGGCAATAGGTTGTGTTTGAAAATAGTAGCCTTAACCTATGACCTTGGATTTCCCCCTTTATTTCCCAGTGTCACAGTTTTGTGAACTTTTCCCTTCATAACTACTGGCGGATTTAAACCAGAGAAGCAGACTTTGGGTTAGCCACTCAACTTGCTCTGGATTCTACCACCAGAGCTCTTTACAATCCTGGAAGTTATTTATTATTGTCTTGACTTTAGACAGAAGAGAACTGAAATTTATGGAAGAGATTATTTGAAAGATGTTAATTAGTTTAAAAGCATCAAAATAATGTCTTTTGTCTCAGTTTTTATCTTGTATTAATCCACTGAAGGGTCAGAGATGAGTTAGTTCTACCTCAAAGGTACATAGCACCAACAAGTTTTTATTACATATTGATGTGGAAACTGAAGATTAGAGATGCATATGCTGAGGCCAGAGACTATGACAGAATGTTGTGTTTCACATTACTTGTTTTCAGGTCATTAATAGGTTAACCTTTAGAATTAGTTAACTAGTTGTTTCAAATTTAGGTGTAAACTAACATTTTGTGCCCCTAGGGGAACTAATGGTTGTTAGGTGCCCTCACGTCATGTACCGCTTATAGCATCCCTGTGAACAGCAGATCTGAATCCTGTTCTATTCTGTATCGTCCTCACAATCTCCAACACACTCAAGCTCATTGTTGCAGTTATTATATCAGTCCACCTGGTTGAGAAGCCTTCTCTCCTTAACTATTTCTCTACCTTCCCAAGTATAATGTTCTTATCCAATAAATAGCCTCTTGTAGCTAAAACTTGAGGCACTTGCTGCAGAAGATCAAAGACTGCAGGCTTCAATATGGATTTTATCTCAATGTCAAGAAAATAAAAATCCTAGCCACTAGACAGATGGACAACATCATGATAGATGGAGAAAAGTGGAATTGTCAATGACTTCATTTTACTTGATGAAGTGATTGTTACATGATCAAGACACTTGGTTGGGAGATGTATTGCACTTGGAAAGTCTGTAGTTGGGATCTCTCCAAATTATTGAGGAGCAATGATACCAGTTTGGGTGAAACTGGTAGTAAAGAGTAATCAAGGCTATTTTTTTTAACCAGAAAATAAACAATTGGATTATCTAAGAGAATGAGGAGCTCTGGTCCCTTCTGGTCCTTCACCTCTCAATTCCTCTATGCCCTCAAAGGAAATGCATAAATTCTGAGTTTTCACTCTTTTACTGATTGCTGTCATGTTGGAACCAAATCAAAGTTGAACCTTCAGGGTTTTCTGAGGCTGTAAATAGTACAGGAGATTACCCATCTTTCTGCCTCAGAGCCACTGGTGGATGAGAACCTTCAGAGAGGCTGCCTTTGAGTTAGCAGTAACCAAGATTGCAGAGAACAAGCCATCACTACTTCCCAGACAAATTAGTCCTAGTTCAGCTATCTGCATCTGATCTGCAGACACCAGTCCCCCTTTCTCTCTGAAAAATGGCAGCATTTATTTTCTTAAATAAGTGGAAGTTTTGGAGAAGAAAAATCTGTCAAAGAATGTTTTCATGAATCTCTGAGAGATTGGCTGAATCTGAGCTCAGCTTTTAGGATTCTCTTTGTTCCTGTCTGACTCTGTTATCTCAGTGCTGCTGCTTAATCTCAAAGCACTGTTTGGGCCAGAAACTTCCTGATATATGAATCGTTGATTGGATAATAAGTCTCTATTCTTGTCCTTAGCTTTGTTTTTATTCTCAGAAATCCCTTGAGACTGACACAATGTAAACACAACAAACTGGGTAATGGAATGGTAAAAAAGCAGTTCCACAATTTATTTTTCCAATTTACTCAAGGAATTGAAAGTTAACACCAGGAAATAAAGTGTGGAAGATCTAAAATGGGTTGGTTCCCCCTCCCCAGTAATCATGCTTTAGGTAAATACTGTACTATTAATTACCATCCTTCGAATTGTTGGGATCCCAGGGCACTATAGGCAACCATCACTATGTCGTTAGACTTGCAGAATTCCAGCAGTTTGCTCTGGTTGAGATAAGGGTGACATTCCACCTGTAGAAAGACAGAATAGAAATATGTCAGATTACATGAAATCTTGATTAGTAAAGTAAAAGGGAAAAGAGAACATTCAAAGAAGCCAAGCAAAACTTTTAAAGGATGTATTTGAACTAGAAAGAACATAGATTAATAATCTTTAGAAGAATTTTTCTTTTCCACCAGAAGGAGTAAAAAAGCAATGATCTTTCAAAAGAGAAATAGATCTGTTGTTAAGTTCTCGGCTCCTAAATATTAATATTCACAACCAAAGTCCAGATGGATTGTGGGATGAAAGATATCCTATAGGAAGGAAACAAAAGTTGTTGGAAAAACAGGAAAGGTTAGACCAAAATGGAATGCTCTAGAATTCAGAGAAGTGAAAGCAAATGGAAGAGACAAGGAGGCTGAGACAGACTGGGTGCAGTGGAATAGGGAAAACCATGAAGAGATAACTTGAAATACTTGTCACCAGAGACAATTTAAAGGTGAACTTGACATAACAAGTGATACCTGGTATCCTAGAAACTTTTGCGCTGAAAATCTTCTGTGCACACCTGATTAGCACAGCTTCTTTCTTGCCAAAGAATTGCTCTCCCCCATTTCTTCATTGTTGTTGTTATTAGGTGCCATCAAGTATGATTCATGTTGTTGTTAGGTGCCATCAAGTTGAGTACAACTCATAATGACCCCATGAACAAAAGATCTGAACCCTGTTCTATCCTGTGCCATCCTCATATTTCCTAACAAATAAGAGCCCATTGCAGCCATCAGCATGTCAATCCACCTAGTTGTATGTCTTCCTCTCCTTTGCAGATCCTCCACTGTACCCAGCATCATTTTCTTCTCCATGGAATAGGCCTTTCTGGAAACATGCCCAAAGTATGTGAGATGAGGACTCATTATTCTTGCCTCCAAAGAACACTCTGGCTGCACCCTCTCCAAGACATACCTGTTTGTTCTCTTGGCCACCCATGGGATGTTCAGCGCTCTTCTCCAACAACATAGCTAAAATGCATCAATTCTTTTTCTGTCATTCTTATTCATTGTCAAGCTCATGAATAAAGACTATGGCCTGAATAAGATGCACTTTAGTCCTCTAACATCATTACTCCTCAATAATTTGGAGAGGTCCTTAACTGCAGATTTCCCCCAGTGCATGTGTCTCCTTATTTCCTGACTGCTGGTATTGAGGGTACTTAATTGTGGGTCCAAGAAAGATGAAGTTGTTGATGGTTTCAATCTCCTCCCCATCTATCATGCTGCCACCTATTGGTCCAGTGTAAGAAACTTTGTTTTCTTGACATTGAGATGCAATCCATACTGAAAGCTGCATTCCTTGATCTTCTACAACAAGTGCTTCAAGTCGTCCTCACTTTCAGCAAGCAACGTTGTGTCACCCGCATAATGCAAGTTATTGATGAGTCTCCCTCCAATCCTGATGCCACACTTTTCTTCACAGAGTCCAGTTTCTTAGATAATTTGCTCAGCATACAGATTGAATAGGTATACAATAGGCATAGAGAAAATAATCCTGACACACTACCTTTTCAGCTTTAAACCATGCAGTGTTACCCTGCTCTGTTGACACACAGCCTCCTGGTCCATGTATAGGCTCTACATGAGCACAATTAAGGTCTCTGGAATCCTCATTCTTCTCAATGTCAGCCACAACTTGACTTGTCATGATCTACACAAATGCTGTTGCATAACTGATAAAGCACAAGTAGACATTCTTCTGGTATTCCTTACTTTCAGCCAGGATCCATCTGACATCAGCAGTGATATATTCCTGGTGCCATGACCTCTTCTAAATCCTACTGGCATTTCTGGCAATTCCCTATCTACATATTGTTCTAGCCATTTTTGAATGATCTTCATCAGTATTTTGCTTGCATGTGATACTAATGATATTGTTTGATAGTTTCCGCATTCAGTTGGATCATCTTTCTTGGGAATGGGAACAAATATGGACCTCTTTCAATCTGTTGGCTAGACAGTGCATCCAAGGCTACATCTGTTAATTGAAACAAGCCAATTGGTATCCTATCAATTCCTGGGGCCTTATTTTTTGCCAGTGCCTTCAATGAAGCTTCAACTTCCTCCTTCAATAACATTGGCACCTGTTCATATGGTACTTCCCGAAATTTTTAATTGTCAGTCAATTCTTTCTGGTACAATGATTCTGTGTATTTCCTCCATCTTCTTTTGATCCTTTCTGGGTCATTCAATATATTGTCTATAGCCTCTTCTAATATTGCAACACAGGTCTTATATTTGTTTTTCAGTATTTTCAGCTTGAAAAATGCTATGAATATCACTCCTAGTGACCCTAAAAACAGTTGATCTGAACCGTACTCTTTCCATACCATTCTTATCATCTCCGGCATATCAGAGCCCATTGCTGAAGTCACCTTGTCAATCCATCATATTGTGATCTTCTACTCCTTCATTGACCCTTTATCTTTCAACACATGATGCCCCTTTCTTAGGAATAGCCTTGCCAACCTACATGTCCAAAAATACATTCTTCCTCTTACAGCAGATAGTATTACTCTCTAATTGCCATGGGTTGACTGACTCATAGCTGATCCTCCAGTGGGTTTCAGAGGTTGTAAAATTCATGAGAGGTTTCCCATCTTTCTCTTAAAGCTGCTTATGGATTCAAACTATCAGAGAAGCATGGTCTTTGGGTTAGTAGTATTGGACTATGCCACTCATTTAAAATTTTTCTCAAAAGATATACCAAAAGATATGATCCGTCTTGACTGAGGTTCTGTTACATCTTTTGCAAGATACTTTATTTTTAAATAAATGTTTTACACATGACAGTTTTGGTCTTTATTCTGTCATTCTTACTAGGGTGAAAAAGGATCATCAGTTGGGAAGGTAGTCTGCAATAAATTAAAAACCTGAGCAGAAAATTTCAGAGTGCTGCCTGGGGCAATAAGCAAACCATTATTGTGAAATATATGAAGATTTGGAGTTAGAAACCCAAGATTGAAGAACTCCAAGACTGAAGAACTCACTTGACATTTCTTAAGGTGAAAGAACTAATGATCAAATTCAAGCGTTAAGTACCAATTTTTAAGGATTTCATAGGCAAAATATTAAGAAGGCATCAAAAGAGGAAGGAAGAAATACACACTGTGCCAAAAAAAGAATTGATTGACATAACCATTTCAGTAAGTAGCATATGATCAAGAGCCAATAGTACTCACGAAAGGAGTCTAAGCAGCGTTGAAGGCATTATTGTAAAACAAAGCTACAGTAATTGATGGAATAGCAATAATGGTGTGTTCCAACAAACAGATAAATAAATATCTAAAAGATCCACTGGTCTATACCAAGACTTTGGAAAACAGTTACTAGGCAAATGTTGGAAAAAGATCTGTATTTGGATGTTGTTGTTGTTGTTGTTGTTGTTGTTGTTAAGTGCCGTCAAGTCGCAGGCGACTCATAGCGACCCTAAGAAGGAGAGTCCTTGACGCTTGGGTGCCTTTCATCCTTCCTCCAAGTTCATAGGGTTTCTGGAGGCAAGCTATTATGGAAGTGGACACCACTCCTTCCACGCTT